TTTCTGTTGATTTATCTTCTTTCTTGAGACACATTTTTCTTTTCTATCTAGTTATCAATGAGGCAATCTTTTTTTTTTTTTTAAGTTTTGTTGTCCTTTTCCGCTCGATTGATTTTGAAACTTTCTACTCGCATGAAATGCGCATGTTGAATCTTCCCTCATTAAAAGATATTCTCAATGTTAACGTTTAAATTAACATTTTTAAAAAATGTCAAACTTCAACATGTTCAAGGTAGGGTAAAAATCATCGTATCTATTGAAAGGTCTCACCGTCTCCTGAAAGGTAATGCACGTTTATATTGAGAACGCCCCGTCTATTTTATGATTTATTTTGAAAGTAGGTCCTGACTAAAGGTCGTGGGTCAAAAATCATAGTTATGACCAAGGTCAAATTACTGTTCACGAAAAAGTACCCAATAAATTGTCTTCTGAAGTGGATCAAAAACAATCGTCTGGATTGTCTTTAAAAATAGATGTTTTATTTGCATCAAAAGTGCAATTTGCTCTTTATTCTGAGTTATTGAATGAAAGTGGTTTAAATCTGCCACTTATCCAAATTCGTCAGCGTTATTGAAGAGAATACCATAACGGGGTATTTGTAAAGTAAAAAATGTCATTAATAAACTAACCAATAAAATTGCCATGGGTCCAATTACCGTCACTGATATTTTCAGTACGTCATTTCCAAATTTAATGAATCAACTGGTGTACCATTGAAGTTTCACCTGCTGAGAAAAAACCCATTCAAGGAACGAGCAAAAATGAACATTTATGAAAGGTATAGAGCAGATTTCACAGGATATCTAGTGGTATAGACAAATGATTTAGAAAATCCATTTGAAATAGGTGTGACATGTAATTATTATCTATGCCTTTTTTTCTGGGAACAGCATTTCTATAGATTGAAATACATGACTATTTTCCTTACAAAGGTAATGCATTAAAGTCACGCAAAAGTCATTATCAACATTTGCGTTACTTTGTACATTTCTATATTTTGGACACAGAAGATATAACTGCAATTCTTTGAAAGTCCTTTTTCTCTGGTTAGAAAATAGAAGATGTGACAATCAAAAAGTATTTCCATTGCTTTCTTGATTGGTAATCATTGAAAGTACATACAATGTACAATTATGTATAATTTACGAGTTTTGATCCTTTAAAATATCAACTTTGCAAGCCAAGGATCAAAGATATAGACAAAAATATATTCATGTTCCATTGACATTAGAAATACCTTGCCAAGTTAACTAAGCTTGTTTTTGACCAGACAGGCAAAAACATAATTGACAAAAGCTAGAGATAAAAACGCGTAATATTAAGTTAAAGTGCATTTCACATAATAAGTATGCTGTAAAAAATCCTTTGTTGTAACATTTGTTAACACATGTGCGATGGCACTAATCCTTGTCCAAATCCCTACACAATTTTTCCATCGTACTCTGTTTCGTAATGCCTTGCATGACCTTGCTTGACAGTGAAGCTTGATTGCTTCTGTTGATATACTTAAGTATTTTATTCACACTTTTTCCATTAACATGCAGGATTAATGTGAAAAATCATAAAAATTATTGCCACTTCGTTAAATTATCCAATAAGTTCCGGCTGTCGGTCGACGCAGTGGTGAAAGTTTGAACTGATGATTTCCGTGTTTTCTGAGGACATAAACCTTTGACCAAGTACAAAGTCCGTCCAAGGCAATATGCACATGTTATTATAATGCAATATTATGAGCCGATCAGGTTTCCATCTAATAAGAAAAGTAGCCTTTTTAGACTTGATAAGAAAAAAATATTATTCAAAGCTTATTGGAAAAATTATAATGTTCTTTTTTACATCATTCTTTAGCTGCAGAACTGAAGGTAGTCGATTGATTGCTGGAAAGTGGAGAAATTCTTCCAAACAGTGCGCAGATAATCTTGCACCGTAAATTGCACCTTCTTTGCATTACGGGATCTGTAGCGTTAATCAAAAACTGATACATAAAACCATAAGGCTAGAGTTCTGCAGCTCGAAACTTTCACGATAAACAAGTAACATAAAGCTTGCATGTTTACTTGCGATAAGCCAATCTTAAGTAAAAACTTTTAACATCAAAGCATTTGGTCACTTTTATTAGGTCACTTACTGACAGATGACCAATTGCTATCTGCTTTTGTCTGTCGTCGTCCGTCTTTTCACTTAGCCCACCACTTTCAATTTGCTTCCGACGCCAATGTTTTAAGCTTCTTCTTTGAAACTACTGATCGAATTTAAACCAATTTTGGCATATAGCATCTATGGGTAAACCGGAATAAAATCTTTGAATTTCAGCCCCTGCAGGCCCTCTAGGGCCTGAGGAGTGGTGCTTAAACCATCAAAATGCACTGTAAATGCAATATTAAACAATCTTCCTCTTAACCTTAGGATATCAAGCAACTATGTGTTGCATGGTTTTAATCAGAATTAATCAGCACACTCTACCAAAATTATGAAATTCATGGCCCCAGGGTCAGAGGCTCCGGTGCTAGAGCGGGGTTCTAGTAAATATCTAGTGAAAATGCATTATTTCCTAAAAAGCTTTTCCTCTGTTCCTTGAAATTAAATTAAATGAACTGCCTACCGGTACATAGCAATGATGAAGAAGGGGACCTCCTCGAAAATTGTGAATCTTATGACCCTTGGATCCGAGTTTCTGGTGTTAGAGAGGGGATCTTTTGATTATACAGTGTATAATGAAAATTACTTACACAATGTAATTCTTTGAAAATCTTCTACTGGTATCAAACAAACTATCAACACTTTACATATACACAGTAATGGTGAGGAAGGGTGCCTCTTCTAAAATTATGAACTTCATGGCCCCTGGCTCAGGGGTTCTGGTATTATGGTTCGGCTGAAACTAATGATTACTGTAAACCAACTTTTATTCGCGTGCGAGAAATTTTCACGAAGTTCGCGAGAGCCTGTTAATCGCGAATATTTCTCACCGCGAACCGGTCCTAAAAGTCTCTGTTTCTATTAACTACAGATAAAAGAAGCTCAATCGCGAAAATTAATCGTCGCGAAGTAGTTTACTCCTGATAAATCGCGAAATAAAGTCGTCGCGAATAAAAGTTGGTTTATATAGTGAAAATTCATTAATTATGTGAAAATTCTTTTCCTGTGTTCCTAATTCAATTGCTGGAAAGTTGTTACATGGCTCAGGTGACCTATAAGGCTTGTGGATCTCTTGTGTAATTATCTGATTTTGGAGACCTGAACATCTGTCAAAATTACAAGTGTTTGAATTCAATACTAGTAAAAATAATAAATTTCAACGACATACAGAACGGCTGAATTTTGACCAACAACTAAAATGGAAAAGGTCCAAAGAAATGCAGGCAAAAACAAGTTACCTTTAGTACACTACTTTAATGAATACAAACTTGGCGTTCAAATTTCTTTGAGTTGTCACTTTGATAATTGATACTGGTATCCCGATTACTTAACTAACGATTATGGCTTAACTCTTTCGTGATGGAGGTAGGAAACGTCTGCTGGATGGGGGCAAATGTGCTATTGAATGCAATGCAAAATTTGTAGATCGAATTTATATCTGGTGGTAAAAAAAAAAAGAATTTGCTTAACAATTGCTGAACCAGCCTTATCAATTTTTGAGAGGAGCTAATCCTAAAATGTTACAAATTTAACGATATTTTTAACTAAGCGGACTCCTCATTATATTTTCATTGAAATCGTCACATTTTAAAGCTGATAAAATATAATCCTAAACTTCCCTTATTTGACAATCTACTATTTGGAGTTTAAGCCTTGGCAATACATTGTACTTTCGGCAAAAAATTATTCAAATCATTCGATTGTCACTATTGTAAACAATGTCATGTACCTAAGAAATTGAGAGCTTTCTCGACTCCCCCGCAAAAGAGCGGTAGTAAGTTAGATAACTGCGAGGTAATCGCGATATTACGTTACTGACTATCTTAAGTGCAGCCTGCATGCTATCCTTTTGCACCGGAGTTGATGGGGATATCGTAAAACGCTTGTGTGTGTTAGTGTATGTATTTACATTTTGTTTGACTCTGTGGAAAATGGAAGTGACTAAATTTGCTTCGGGATCCCTTGGTTTGTAGATCTATCTATAGTCATGCTACATGTATTTGCGATGGATGTCGCGGTGCCCTTTGTTGATAAGAAATAAACCTGCCCTGAACCTCATCTTGAAGAATTTTTTTAGAAACACTTATCAATTAAATCTCAAAAACAAAGCTAAATAAAGTAACTAAAACAAAACAGAACTTGTCTATTATTGGAACAATATTTAGTGTTGTTTCCAATCGGACTGAACAAGTTCGAAAAACACTTTCACCACTTTTTATTTATGAGGAATTCCAGGTTGCAACGGACTAACTAAAGGTAATGCGAATCGTGAAGATGGAATACAGATATCTGAATTTCCAACGCCGTGAAACTCAATTCTGTAAATATAATGCCGATTCCCCTTCTCATATAAAGAAAAAAGCTTACTCGTGAATATATTGTAATATCCTTTGGACGGCAGTGTTGTAATAAATTGAATTATTCTTTTAAAGAAAAGTCTTCATATTACCTAAATGTGATTTCCTGCTGTATGGTCTCAACGTAATGAAAATTAAATGAAAATTGTGTATTTCTAGAAACATTTTGCACGATTTCTTCCTATACTGAATTTAAAAAAGAAAAGATGAAATTAACTTAGATGCAATTGACACAGGATAAAACTCTTTAAATCCTGGTAATTTTAAGTGAAATGACAATTCTGTTTGTGCCGACCTTACAAGTATAAAAGTATTCTCTATCAGAATATACATTTTAAACCAGAATCAAGAAAAAACATGTACAGTGTATATTCATGCATTTTTTATATAAGAAAATCAAATATATCAAAATATAACTTTTTTCGGGTAACTACTTTCGTAACTGTTTTCAGTTGTTTTGTAATAATAGAAAGCAGATTTTACATCTTTTAATTTCTCTTTCAGGTTAATTGAGAAGCAATCAAATTTTACACATCTAGACAATTCAACTCTTCAATACTACTCAAATCTGGAACGATTGTAAGTTAAACGAAGTGTAACATCAAGTTTTAATAAACGCTATTCTAAGACTGCTAGCAGTGTCAAGATAGTTTGATATTAAGTACTGACATATCGATTTACGGCTAACATTTGAAGAAAATGAACGACTCAAGATTATCTTTGAGTTTAAAACTGTTATACATCTTTCTGAAACTTTAACCAGTTGTAGAAATTTCCATTTCTATTTGTTTTCTCTGTGATATCTCTTTGAATATTAGGGGAGTTGATTACTTGATCATTCTACCGGAATGTAAATTTCGTCAAGCGAAAGGTCAGGAGCTTAGAATGTCTTATATGCACAAAAATCTCGTGCGTCTGTCCTTGTGTTTGACGTCAGTGGGCGGGTACTATTGAAATTGACATGGGAGGCCTTGTAAAAATTAAAATCTATGGGACAACATTTTTCAATATAAATTTACAATTTTATTTCATAATGAAATGGAAATATATGGAATCACTGTCTAGCTTCGCCAGTTATGAAAATTATCCCACGTTTCCAACTATCGTTGATGCCCTGGCATACTCTACTAATAAGACAGTGATTCCTTAAATATATTGTAGTCATGTTAATAAGAGCTCCAATTAGTCAGATCCTTTACTTTTCAGACAAAAAATTTTGTGCATATATTACAATAGACCAGGGTACAAATACACATGTATAGCTTCTAGTACTTCGGAAGCTTTCATTTATTCGTACATTTTTTTCCAAGGACAAAATGTCCTTATTTAAAAAAAGACTGCATACTAGTATATACAAATCATAAACTGAAGATACTTTTATTTTATGTAACATTTTATTAATAGATTGATTGAAGATACTGGATTGAAGTGGATAGACTCCAATGCTCTCAAACCGAACAAACAGCTGAAAACTTTGTAAGTAAATAATTAACATCTAGATAATAAATTGTGGACAAAAGCTTAATTATTTATTTATATGGTTTTAATTTTGTTTTATTTACCTTAGTGGCTTAAGTGAGCTTTTCTTTTAAGATGATGGAAAATTATTTACAAGTATAAAGAATGTACATAATCATTGTAAATAGTATGTTTTCAAAGGACTACTGATAGGAATTAATCTACGGCGAATAAAAATAAAACAGGGAAGCGTTTCACAAAGTTATTTTGACCGGATTAAAGTATCTTGTCATAGCACATTTATAAAAGAAAAACATGTTTACAATTTGTAAAAGCACACCCCCTCTAATATCCAATATCCGTCTTTTGATAGAACATGAGCGTATAATGACAGAGCGGAAAGCCACCCAGAGCGTAAAACTAAAACATTCTAGACGAGGGTAATGAAAAACACAATTCTGTAATTTTTTTTTCACCAATAAAGCGAACTGTCTTCATTTAATTTTCTCTAGCTCAAACAAGCAAAAGATCTTTGTGAACATCTCTGATTCACACTAACAACCACGCCCCCCCCTATCTTTGATATTGTTCGAAAGACACTTATAATCTCTCGATTTCTCAATGACCGTATTCGACATTATTTGATGCTCTTAGATCTTAGAACCATTGCCAGCTTAGTTTGGACTTTCGGTAAGACCTGGCATTTTCGGCGCTACATGTTTACCGCCTGTCTAATGGCGAATACATTCTCATTGGTTAAAAAATTAATAACATCAGGAATTTTAAATTGTTGTTGACAACGACGACACGACTTAAGCTCCACCTCTTTGCAGGAGGAAACAATGTAATTGGTTATTCGATACAGTAATTGACATTTGCCCGAATTTCTATCCCATGTATACATGTATTTCAACAGTGAAGGAAAGCTGTGTAAATTCTAGAAGATAATTATGTAACGTCGAGAATGCCACGCCTTACTGAAAGTTCAAACTTAGCTGAAAATGGTCCTATTTTGCAGTTTTCTTCACAATTAGTGGTGTCCACATATTTAGAGTGAAAAATTTTCAAAGGGGCTCAAAGGGAAGAAGGGAAAAACGGGAATTGCATGGTTGTTCTTTTTAACCCCTGCGCCGGCAACCACAAATACTAGTATAGTATTTGGAACTGATTGAATAAACAATCTCGCTACATGTTGTTCTCCTGTGGGCTAAACACAATCACTTATTGAACAAAGCACTTGACTAATGTTTGATTCAAAAGTTATCTTGAGAGTTCCGAGTAAATGAAAATCCAATATTTACCATATCAAATGCTTTATTTTCTTCTTTGTCTTTTGAAGACTATTCCGTTTGTATTGTAAATGACCACTGGTTCTTAAATTTCATTAGTGAGTTTTTAATTATCTGTGCTTTTTCATTTCTATTTATTTACTCAAAAGTGGTATAATAATTCTTTTAAGTGTATTATACGATTTTTCCCCTTAACCCCCCCCCTTTTCTACGAAGCTAGGGTGGGGTTTATTGCCAGATATACAGTTTACAATGAACGATATTTGAAGAAAACGATTATCATACTGGAAAACCTCCATTAAACAATAAAAATTGTAAGCAGAGGCAAAACGGGGTACTTCAGAAACAGTGGCAGGATCTGGAGCAATGAAGGAGTGAGCATCCTCTATCGGCCGTTCACACCTGCTGTACGCTTTTTATCGTGTCGTTTCGAGTAAACGAGAAAACTTAGTGTGGAAGTTATTGCCAAAGATTTTGTTTAAAAAGTGAAGTCGACATTCAAGCCAACTCCAGATTTGTAATTATACTAGTTGAATATACCTCCCAATTCCTGAGAAACTTAATTTTAAGAAAAGTGTTCATTTGGTTTCCTTAAGCGTTTTCTAGCAATGAAGTGATTAACATTATATTTCAGATCAAGCAAATATTGTCAAGATTATAGCTGATTAATGATTGCTCAGTTAAACACCATGCTCTAGTTAATTAACAATCTTTTCATAATTTAACATCATTTGCCATAGACACTAAGGTAAGCTTTACAAATACATGTAACACATCGAAGATATTTTTGGTCATGCCTGTAGGTGTTAATTTAAAACGATATTAATTAATAAATCTAACCTAACACGCCTTTTCAATGACAAATCTCCTATTAGTCATATATCTTTTGACTTCCTACATCCCACAGTCTGAAGCTTCATGATTATACCCATTATGTCTTATGAAACAGTATTTATGTACAACCAAAAAGAGTGTTTTTCTCTTGAGAAATGAAAAATCAGGTGATTAATGGCTCATTTTCAAGGATATACGTTCTATGCACCCAATGGCTGTCTATGGCTTTGTAAAATATGTCTATGGTAAATGAAATGTAGATTTTATATGCACAAAAGGTAACATTGTGATACATACATATATGTAGAAAAACATTTACATACACTATGTACTTTACTTTAAGTATAAGTGGCAGATCTTTTATATTTATCGTCAGGAAAAGGGAAAATGCAAACAGTCAATGTTTTGGAGCTTGATATTTTGATAATATATAGACAGTATACGGATTCATGCAGTTAAAATATGCCGTTTTTTAATCGTATATTTATAATTATTTATACATTTTTTAAACATTAATTGTAGTTCTCTGTGCGTATGCTAGAGTCAGGCAGAAACTAGTTAATAATGAAAGGAATCAACTCAACTTTAAATCAAGACCGGAAATACTAGTATACGAATTCGAGGCGTTTATCAATGAAAACAGAAAGACCTGACAAAATTAAACATTAAACCTAAGGAAATATGTTTTTTTTTTTCCCATGAGATTGGTGACGTAGATCTCATTGAGCGATACATACAATACCAACAGTATTTGTTCTTCATAAAAATCTGTTTTGCGATAAAAATAATAAAACATTTATTTGATAGGATTGTAAATTAGTTTATGATGTTGCTCTTGATCTTGACCTTTATCTTTGCTTAAGAAGTTCTATCATTTGACAATGAGGTCATTAGATTTTATATTTTCAAACACCTGACTGATCAAGATCATCTCCAAAATCAAGGTCATGAAGCTAAAAATAGTTCAAGTCCATAAAATAATTCGAGTGTTCTAACCCAAAACTTGCAAAGCTGCGATATGTTTTCATCACTACGGATGTATCCATTGTAATCATAATGATATTTAATTCCTTGAGTGTCGTTAACTATTTTATCACGTATGTTTATGAATTGATTTCAAAAACTCGTTTTCTTTGTCATAGTATCTAGTGATTGCTGCAAAGTTCATAATTGGTTATTATATAGCGAAAATTTCAATGATATTTATGTTCACATAGGCTGTAAAACTCGGTAAAAGTACAAATTTTATTTCGTTTTTCATTTTTGGATTATTGGAATACTTCACAATCATTGTAAAAATGTTGAACATTTTAAGCTTGAATAATTTAAAGGTTTAAGCGATTAGTCATAAGATATCAGTGTCCCCCATGGGAAGGATTCATCTTAATTTTGTTTAACTTCGTATTATTACCGAAATTTTTACCTTTTAAACAGAGATTAAAAGCTTACAAAATATCAGGACAAAAATAAAAAAACAAAACGATCTTTAAATTCCCGGAAAAAGTCCTATATTTCATTCGTAAGTCATATTTTTTGGAGCAATTTCATCAAAATGTCAAGTGAGCCCGGGCTGAAAGAAACTTTGATCATCATTGGATTATGTTTTTAGGCTATCAATTAATATATATAGTTATAAGAGTTTATCAATGACAAAGCAAAACTTTTGCATTTACGAAAGGAAATAAGTAATTTCATTTCTCATAGAGATGAAAGACAAACATAGTAGTATACCAGTCCAAAATTAAAGCACTCTTCGTATGTCGATAATATAACACATACCGAGAGACTTCAAATTATAATTTTATCTCATGGACATATTAAAAGTTTGCATACTTTATTTGGCGTCTCAATTTGAGGGGAAAAAACCTCGGAGAATACTTTTATGTACGACTTTAGCCAAGCCTACTATTAAACAATGGCGAGTTTCAAAAAATTAATATGTTCTAACTGAGCAAGAATTCTTTTAATTATAGTATGAATAAATCCAGCTTCTCTCTCTCTCTCTCTCTCTCTCTCTCTCTCTCTCTCTCTCTCTCTCTCTCCTACAATTGTATATGCTAGATTATTTTCGACTTGGTCATGTTTTGCGAGTTCATAATTACGTTTTGTTGTTAAAAAAAATGCTATTCTACGATAATTAAACACAATGAACCTCAGTCACCCTTAGAAAAAACAATTAGATCTTAGAAATGGAACTGAGATTGGCTTTATGCTTTGTTCCATCATAGTAATACCGAACTGCGTTTTAATTAACCTTCTTCTTATATTTTTCTTGCTTTAATTAAAGGTTTTTAAGACGTAACAAGCTGACGTACCTTTCTTGGGAAGTAATTGTGGATTTGCCGATTCTTAAACTGTGAGTGTTATTCTATGCAATGTTTATTTGTGGGTGAGTGAGTTAACGCTTTAATTTACGAAACGGAAGTGAGATAATTTGCATCGGGATCGATGTGTAGTATTGTTTTGATTTATAGATAATTTCTTTGAATGGGGGTGGGGGTGATCCGCTTTGTGGTGCCCTTGTTTAGAAGATATCTTTAACTGTTTCTCGGGAAATTTTATCCATTATATAATTGTGGTTACGTTTTACTACCAGAAAGCTCTCATCCCATTTTTTTTTCAATTCAGATCTAGTGTTTTATGCTTTTTTCGGATAAAAGATTACTAGTTTTATCCCTCCAGACCTAAAGTTTGTTCTATAATTATAGTTCTTTTGATTGTTTTCATGACCTTTGAGGTACTGCTAGACTTTAATGAAGAAAAAAAGTTCATCAGTTTGTTAAGCGTTGTCTGTCAAACAAATTCCTCACATGTATAAAATTAATGTAACAAGAGTCAAAGACTAAAACAACATACTGAAATATAGAGATTAAATTTTACACAAAGATATTGTTCAAATAAGGCAGGAAGCTAACGAATAAGATATTAACAATAACGATACGATTTTTTGGAGGAATGCTCTAAAACTGAAATAAAAGTCTAAGATATAAACCTTATAGTACATGTAGCATCGAGCGATTGGAAATAAATAAAATTACTTTTGATCCTTATTTATCCATTTTTTTTTTATCTTTTGTGGTGTAGAAATGTTTTTGTGGTGTAGAACTGGTAAAAGGAGTCTGGATGAATTATTAGAAAAAAGTTATTAATAAATGTTCATTTTTAAATTACTGAACTATAGAGCATATTTATTCTAAAAGATGGGGCATTTTTGGTAAATAGTATACCGGTATTATGTATGTCGGGTCAATGTACGTGCGAGTCTAACACTTGCAAATAGGTATATATGTAAATATGGACTTACATGTATACAACCTTACCAATAGAATTTTAATGTGTTTTTATTCAGTGTTATTCTAAACCCTTTTTTCGGTCACAGGTACTTAAACGATAATCCCTTGCCGTGCAATTGTTCCTCCAAATGGATTCAAGAGCTGCAGAAAAAGAAAAATCACGTGTTAGGGGCACTTGCCTCTGAAGATTTAAGGTGCCTCGTACCGGATACCGATGAGTCATCAGGGCCAATAATGCAAAAACTCAGGAATGTAAGGCTTCAGGGTTGTGGTGAGTTTTTTCTCCAAATAAGACTTAAATTTCAGCGTTAAAGGCAAATAAACAACGAAACCACAAGAGTACATCTGTAAGAACATTAACTATTTAAGAATATTATTATTTTGTTATACTTAAGCTGATTTTAAACCACAACGATTTTTATTTTTCAATTTTTAAACCTCAAAACACCCTGCTTGAAATACATCCCTTTTTTTATGTTTGTTTTGATGACCGATATTTATTCTTATTTCATATAAACATGTTTTCTGCTGAAAATGTACAAAACTAAACTTTAAAAAAATGTACATCAAAATTTCAGTTTTACCGTCGGTTGACATCAAACCAAAAACGCCTATCATAAACGAGAGCAGCCAAATCGTGCTCACGTGTAAGGGTACAGGCGAACCCAAACCAACAGTTGCCTGGGAGACCCAGTATCTAAATTCGTCGTTCTACGTCAAATCCAGAGAAGAGGGCAGTGTGGTTGACCTTGTTATCACGAGTGCCAATGCCAGCGACTCGGGTTGGCTGACATGCAGTGCTCGAAATGTGGCGGGAAAAACAGCAGACACAATGCTGTTAAGAGTAAATTGTAAGATTAAATTCAGAATGTTTTTAAATTTTCACATGCAATTAAATCACAGTATATCGATTTTCAAAATAGTTAACTATGAGTATAAACCTCGTACTATATTGTACATTAAGTGTATATTAAAATACACCCCTGGAATCATAGGAATAAGTGAGCATATTCTTATCAAAATATCACATAAGGCCAGCTTTAAAATAAATTTTGCTTATCCTCTCCCGACTCAGGGTACAAAAAATTGGGGTCGGTAGGTAGGTGAGAAAAAATAAATTTACCAAAAGATTTCAATTTCAAAGCTATATTTGTTCAATATTTTTTCCAGAATACATAAAAATAATTTTTTTCCTGGAGGTTAAGAAAAGGTTTGATTCGGACCAGTTTTAGTCAGTCGGAGAGGGCAAACCAATAGTTGAAACACATTTTTAATGGCCTTATGGTTCTTTTTTGTACTTTCAGCTCCACCTCAGATCCTTGTTTTAAAACCTCCCGTTCAGAGATTCCATTACTGTATCCAATTCGAGGTGTCCGGATATCCTATCCCGGAGATATCTTGGTTGCACGAGGGCGAGAAGCTGAGAAAGAAATCTACAGTGTACACCTATTATTCCGAACAACCGAAAGGAATATTTAAAACTACCGGATGTTTAATTTTTGAGATGAAAAATGCTAAATATAATGGAATCTACACTTTAATTGCCAAAAATGACTTTGGAATTGCTAATAAGACAGTAAAAGCTGATTTCATGGTCGGATCGGCTGCAGTAATCGGTAACTAACTATCTCAAAATTAAGTTTACAAGTAATGATTTACAATAATTGATTTACTATTATGTTTCTTTTGGGGTTTTTTTTCTTCAAAAATTGCTGTTTGTTTTGTTTTGTTTTAACTTCATTTTCTAAGAACAAGAACCATCATTCGTAGAATATGTGAAGAAAATGCTGATTTAAAAGGGATAAAGATTTAATGAGCAAGGTGACTTAGGGGAATTTTGTAATTTCTAACTGTGTTAAAGTTCAAACAAGTATGATGTGTTCGCTTGAAATAAAGAACTACAAGTCTTTAAAAATAAATTATTTAGGGAAAATTATACCAAAAGAATATTTCCCTGAGGTATCTTGTCATAGTATACATCATTAAATTTCATTAAGTTAGTACTCTTGCAGTGCTTTAGGCCTACAGAGTGTACTTTGAGTTCAAATAGGGATTCAAGTTCTGAAAGTGCATGTATTCATTAAATTACAGCACAGGAACATTTTTGATGTTACGTTGTCTTACTTTCACCTTTTTTTTTATATGAATATAAAGAAATATGGAAAGTTTTCATTCCAAAAGAGTAAAATACCAAAATCATTGAAATATTGATTTTTCTGTTTCATAAAAAAAAAGTATAAAAACTGATTTTCTCTCCCCTTAATAAAAATTTACCATCTTTGAGCACCATTTAAAAAAATTGTGATTTTAATAATCATGCAGGTCCGGCATCCGGGTCTTTTCTGAAGCCCAGACTTCCGGGACGGAGAAATGTCAATCCCTTATTACCTTTTCAAAGGAGCTCTAAAGAAAAAGACCCTCCAACCACAACGTTTGTAAAGAAACAGGATTCTCCGGCTGTAAGTGACACGTGATCTACAGTTTATCGGTTTATATTCCTTTACATTGAAGTTTGTCTAGACTTATCGGAACACCTCTGTTTTTATATATACATTTTTCGATTGATAACATTTTATATTGATGCCTGAATTTCGCAAGTTTATTTTCTTGTAGATTCGACATTGACTTATATGAACTATTTCGCAGTTGAAGATTATTCTTATTTTAGGTGTATATCGCCATTGGAATATCAGTTTTTGTTTTCCTCGCCGTTGTGTTGGCGACCATTTTCTTTGTTGTTCGTCATTATCGCCAAAAAGCTACACGTCACACACATCACGTGACCTTCTCATCCAATAGCTCACAGCGACCACTGCTGAATTCTGATAGTACCGTGTCATCAAAAACCCAACCGCATCAAATGACTGTCATGCCTCTGACCTCCATGAAAATAGTAGAAAACCCAGCATATCAAATCAAGAGTGCAAACTGTAAAAACTCTTGTAAGTATGTTGTGCAATGTTAGATGTAATCAGTGAGAGATTGGCATCACTTTTTGATGTTTAACAGATTTCATTGTAATCAAATTCAGAGTCTCACCTAACTGAAATAAGATATATTTACATATACTAGTATGCTGAATTTATTTTTGCCATTTTTCTTTCTTTTGCAAAATCAACACCATGCCTTAAATCATATAATCTACAATTATGCTTACTTTTAAAGATGTGATAAAAGAAAAGAATTCTTAACATAAGTACATATTTTCATCATTTTAGCCATATTTTATATAAAAAGAGCAGCTATTGAATTCGTGCGAGAATTAGGAGAAGGGGCGTTTGGGCGAGTTTTCTTGGGAACCTGTAAGGACCTTACGTCACCAGGCGAGGTTACCATGGTAGCCATTAAGACACTGAAAGATGCTGCCATGGAAGACGCGAAGGTGAACTTTGACCGAGAGGCGGAGTTATTAGCTACTTTACTGCATGACAACATAGTCACGTTTTACGGAGTGTGTGTCGACACGGATACCTCTATGATGGTATTTGAGTATATGGAAAATGGTGACCTGAATAATTTTTTAAGGTATTTTTAACTTGATGATATGATATCTACGAAATTACAGGAACGCATCTTATATTTTTTCCAACATTCAATGCTGTCCTTTAATAGAAAATTACAGGATGTGATACTAGTCATCAAAATTATTCCAAGACATGTATTATTAAAGCGCGCTAAAAAACATATCAACGTTATACAATTCCTTTTTAATTTAACTATTCGTAAAGTACACTTGTATCTGTATTACTAAAGACCAGTGATTATTTTCTCAGTGTCTTGGGGATTATAAAGATGAACGTACATTATGATTTTTTTTTAAAGTTCAGGGAAACGAATTCATCTCTATATTTAGATACGATATTTCCATAATGGACAATGCGCACTTTTAAAATGCACAAGTGAAAAGGATCTGTTTATTATAATAAACTTACAGTTGCCAAATTTAATTAAGTCGTAAATTAGCAATATTCAAACAGGATCTCTATCTTGTAAAGATTGGATATAACAATGTTAACTACGGGCCTCGGTCGGTTCTCTCTCAAAAAGTTTTAATTTTTCACTGTCAACATACACTGTAAGGCCATCTTTAAAAAATGTTCTGCCTTCATCTCCCGACCGACTAACATAATGGCCCGACTCGCACCTTTTTTTTTTTTTTACATTCCACGACATAATATTTTTTCTTTTCTTTAATCCCGTCAACCATTATGATGATATTTTCAGGAAAAAAATTCCCAACCTACCGATTGGCCCAACAGTTTTACCATGTAAGGCAACATCTTTAAAAAAAATTTGTCCGTTGTCTGTCGTCGTTGTCGTCGGCGTAAACTTTTCACATTTTCATCTTCTTCTCAAAAACCACTGGGCCAATTTCAACCAAACTTGCCACAAAGTATCCTTAGGTGAAGGGGATTCAAGTTTGTTAAAATGAAGGGCCACGCCCACTTCCAAGGGGAGATAATTCTGAATTAGTGAAAAATTAATGGCATTTTTAAAAAATCTTCTCAAGAACCACTGGGCCAAAAGAGATGAAACTCATGTGGAATCATCCTCAGGTAGTGTAGATTCAAGTTTATTCAAATCATGACCCCCGGGGCTAGGGTTGGGCCAAAATGGCCGAACAAAGTTTTACATAAGATTATATAGGAAAAATCCTTAAAAATCTTCTTCTCAAGAACCACTTGGCCAAGAGAGATGAAACTCATGTGAAAGCATCCTCAGGTAGTGTAGATTCAAGTTTGTTCAAATCATGTCCCTTCGGGGCTAGGGTGGGGCCAAAATGGCCGACCAAAGTTTTACATAGGAATATATAGGAAAAATCTTTAAAAATCTTCTTCTCAAGAACCTCTGGACAAGGAAAGATGAAACTCATGTGGAATCAACCTCAGGTAGTGTAGATTCAAGTTTGTTCAAATCATGACCCCCTGGGCTAGGGTGGGGCCAAAATGGCCGATCAAAGTTTTACATAGGAATATATATATATAGGAAAAATCTTTAAAAATCTTCTTCTCAAGAACCACTGGGCCAGGAAAGATGAAACTCATGTGGAAGTATCCTCAGATAGTATAGATTCAAGTTTGTTCAAATCATGACCCCCCCGGGGCAAGGGTGGGACCAAAAAGGCCGACCAAAGTTTTACATAGGAATATATAAGAAAAATCTTTTAAAATCTTTTTCTCAAGAACCTCTGGACCAGGAAAGATGAAACTCATGTGGAATCATCCTCAGGTAGTGTTAATTCAAGTTTGTTCAAATCATGACCCCTGGGGGTAGGGTGGGGCCAAAAAAGTTTTGTATAGGAATATATAGGAAAACCTTTTAAAATCTTCTTTTCAAGTACTTCAAAGCCATGATTAGTTATATTTATATGGAATCATTCTCAGGTAGTGTAGATTCTAGTTTGTTCAAATCATGATCCCATGGGGGGGTTAAAATTCAAGCCTCTCCCCCCCCCCCCTTACCTCAGTAAACTAAGTTCTGATCTGATATGTGCTTTTTCCTAGCCGATGTTCTCAGGTGAGTGCTGTGGCCCATGGGCCTCTTGTTTTTAAGGTCTATTAGTAACATTCTTTTCAGTCTGGTACATGTAATTTAGAGTCTTTAGTAAATTTGAAACTGTCTTTCAGATGCAACGGTCCAGATGCCAAATTCCTCAATAAGAGTACATCGTTTGTAAAACCCCTTTCCAAAATCGAACTACTTCATATTTCAAATCAAATTGCCAACGGGATGGAATACCTTGCGTCCCAGCATTTTGTTCATCGAGACTTGGCAACAAGGAATTGTTTGGTTGGAGACAAAATGATCGTCAAAATTGGAGATTTTGGAATGTCACGTGATGTCTACAGCACAGACTATTACAGGGTAAGTGTACTTTTTCTAGTCAGTTTTAGCAATGATAACTCTTTAAAATTACAGAGGCTTTTGGAAATTTGAAAATAAAAATGTTTGAAATTTGTAAATAAAAATAATTTTAAAAAATTTATGAGATCGACATTTTAAAATACTTTGGACTTTCGATCAAAATAGACATTATTTTTGCCCTCTTTATAAAATATGCTGTACTTTTAAGAAGCAGCTCGATAAACGACAAAGGATATTAACAATAATCCAAACAGACATTAGGATGAGAAAATGACATAATATTTTAGATTAAAGAATGAAAGTCAAATTGTTTTTGTTCGGAAGATTAATGTGTAATTGGTACAATAATCTTTGGATGTCATTTCTTCCGGTTTCAAGCTCTGTTTAATAATTGACAGATTCGTAGAATACAAAGGACAGATATTTAAATTAACGCGTGGGCGCTTTGGAGAATTTCTCCGAGGCTAAAGTTTCCCGTTGTTGATACATAAATAGGAAACATATACAGTCAATATACATTCGAAGTAAAAAAAATCGGTATTTCCTACAAAAAACTGTTTCAAAAAACATGCAGGGGTTGAATTTTCCTCTATACTTACATGTACAAAATGTATATCGACCCCCTACACTCCATTGCACTCCTATTAATTAAAGGAGTGTTTTTAAGTAAAAGTAATTTTAAAATCAGAGGGTTTAAAGATATTTTTTGAATCACGTGATCTGGAGACTAAAATGTATATTTGTTTATCCATTTTCTATTGTTCGGTTAATTAAATTTGGTCTAGAGAAAAAAATCAGCCAAAAAATCAAGTTCATTAAATTTTACGAAGACAATCCATCCCCTTGACGTAATTTGCAATTATCAACATTCTTCGACAAATACGAAACATTGAATGCTATAAATAGCTTTCTTTGAAAGGGAATCTTCATCATATTATTTTGTCTTCAGGTAGGCGGATCTACTATGCTTCCAGTGAGGTGGATGCCACCTGAATCCTTGCTTTATAGAACATTTACCGTTGAATCGGATGTTTGGAGTTTTGGTGTGGTTTTATGGGAAATTTTTACATACGGGAGACAACCGTGGTACGAATTGTCAAATCATGAGGTGAGAACTGTTTTTATACCCCACGCAACTAGTTGCGGGAGGTATAATGTTTTTGACCCGTCCGTCAGTCAGTCAGTCAGTCAGTCCGTCAGTCAGTCCTCTTTTTTGTCAGCGCAACTCCTCATAAACCGCTGCACAGAATTTCGTCAAACTTTGCAGGTATTTAGGACACAATGTGTAGATGTGCATATTAAAAATTCCGATTCCTTTATTTTTCCGTTATTTTCCTCATTTGGCCATGCCTTGAATATAGAGATGAACAGTTTGTCAGCGCAACTCCTCATAAACCGCTGCACAGTCTTTCGTCAAACTTTGCAGGTATTTAGGACACAATGTGTAGATGTGCATATTACCAGGAAATTCCGATTCCATTATTTTTTCCGGGAATTTCCGCACTTTTTAACCTAATCATTTGGCCATGCCTTGAATATAGAGATGAACAGTTTGTCAGCGCAACTCCTCATAAACCGCTGCACAGAATTTCGTCAAACTTTGTAGATATTTAGGACACAATGTGTAGATGTGCATATTACCAGGAAATTCCGATTCCAATATTTTTTCCGGGAATTTCCGCACTTTTTAACTTAGGCATTTGGCCATGCCTTGAATATAGAGATGAACAGTTTGTCAGCGCAACTCCTCATAAACCGCTGCACAGAATTTCGTCAAACTTTGCAGGTATTTAGGACACAATGTGTAGATGTGCATATTACCAGGAAATTCCGATTCCAATATTTTTTCCGGGAATTTCCGCACTTTTAAACTTAGGCATTTGGCCATACCTTGAATATAGAGATGAACAGTTTGTCAGCGCAACTCCTCATAAACCGCTGCACAGAATTTCGTCAAACTTTGTAGATATTTAGGACACAATGTGTAGATGTGCATATTACCAGGAAATTCCGATTCCTTTATTTTTCCGGGAATTTCCACACTTTCCAACTTAGACTTTTTGGCCATATTTAGAATATAGAGATGAACAGTTTGTTAGCACCACTCCTCTTAAACTGTTGTACATAGTTTCTTTTATCCCAAAGAGTTTTGCCTATTATTCAAGAAAATTTCTCCCCCCCCCCCCCACCACTTCAAATTAATGTTTGGATTTGTATAATGCCAAGAAATTTTGATTCCATTATTTATCTATTTTTAAATGTCCTCATATGTAAGACATTTTGATGTGAAGATTTTTTTGCAATTATTGCCCTTTTTGATCTTTACTATGTATTTAAAGTGCACTGTGGCTTTCATTATGTGCTTCACCGTCAAGTTTTGGGGGAGCGTGGGGTATGTGAGCTAGCTCACTTTTTCTTTCATTAATAATATAACTCCTGTAAATTTCAAAACGAGTCTAACTTTAATATTGAAGACTTTACAATATTTAAGTTGAAAACTATGCATATGATTGAAATGCATCTTTGAAGCATGTTATGGGTGGAGTAATCTAAAAATATTATTTTCCAGAACCAGTAGGGCTGTGAAGATGAAACATACGCGTGAAAGCTTACTGAAATACTATAGTATACTACCTAGTATTGCACGTAGTGCATTTTGATACCAATTTCCTAAAAAAAAAATGCTTTCTTTTGCAGGTCATTCATTACGTAACAAACGGAAGTACGTTACAGCCACCCGGAACTGACATATGCCCGGAAGACGTTGCAAAATTGATGGCGTCATGTTGGAAAAGGCAACCTCATGATCGTTTATCAATAAAAGAAATTCACTACAAACTTGATAGAATATGTATGTCACAACCGACGTATCTGGACTTAATAGCCTGAAATCTAGCGTCATAAGCGCTGAGTCGGAATAATGCCGTGTCCTCAAGGCTTCATTCCAGACGTGGTTTCTTCGAGACTTCCGGGATTTTTTCATCATTTGTGGAGAGTGACAGAAGCAGAACCTCTGATGTGTATATAAAAATCCTCTTTATTATCACAGTTTTCGAGGGATAATCAATATAATTTGTTCTGAGTTACCTTTTTATAGGAATTTACAAAAACAAGTCTCGACGATGAAAGGGTCGCTATCGACTGGGATGAAAAGGCCTTTGAGTGCCCACGTGAGATAACAGACAGGTCTGCTGAGAACATAAAGGGGATATTTTTGGTGGAGAAATATCATTCTTTGTTTCTTTTTCATGAAACTTGATATAAACTTGCCTTTGAATATAGAATTCCAATGTTTTAAAAACTGTCAGTTTACTGGCAGTATAACACTACTTCATGCTGCTGACTGAATGTGGTATCGACCGGTGTCACGATGCATTTCCATGTACATGTACGTGCAAAGAAAATGAAATATCTGAAATACTCAATCACTTTGTTTTCAGGTGTTGTCTTCAACGGACATTTTCTAGGATTTCCGTGTAGGGTCTACATGTTTATCATTGTCTTTGCAAAAATTATATAATTAGGTTACATAAAAATGTAGAATCAATAGTTTTTCTTTTTCAAAAAATTGGTTTTTAAGGTAATGTATTCTAATTTTAAAAAATCTAATTGCTTCTTTAAAAAAAAAATCGTGAACGCTTAATTTGAATATATATTGCCCCTCAAGGAAGAAAAAACCTTTAAAATTATGATATTGCTCTGTGTGCCTGCTGTAGAAAGAGCCAATCACTACCTTAGTTGTACTTATTGAAAGATTTTTTTCAAGTTTGATCAAAACCGTTAAAACACCGATAATTGCGCTAAAATTCCTTGAAGCTGGCAAGTACATGTACATTGTACTTTTGCATAAATTTTCTGTTTTATTTTTGTGTCGGTAGCCAAACACAAACTTGCCGTTATAAGTTGACAGGACTGATGGGATATTTTTTAAACACTAAGGAGACATTCGATAGAGTCTGCTGTCCTAACCTAATGGAATTTGCCACTCAAAGTTTATTAACTAATCGATTGATCCGGACAAAGGGGCACCACAAGGGGACTCAGACAAAGCGACAAACTGATCCAAATAATTCCTTGAAGATGATCAATCCTGACACGACTTTTTCTACGGTGTCAGTTGGTTTGGTTGTTAACAGGAAATATGAATATTTTTATTTTGAGGAAGAGAATCAAAGAGAGTAAGAGATCGTAGTGTCTTCTTACTGTGTGAGGCCGAAGAAAAGAATTGTGTGTTTTCGGTAACACATGCCAAAGAGTAGGGTAGACACTAGGTGATAACTTTTTAAAAACTTTTTTTGTTAGCATCAGTTTATTAATCAAAAAACACTTTTCGGCATGTACATGTGTACATACACGTGTATAAATAAAGATACACTATAGAACAGATGCGGTGGTAAAACTAGAGTCGGTCGGCCAGTTACCTGAAAACACATATTTTCTTCAGACTGATTAAATTTCCAATTGCAATCAACTGTTCTGTAAATGCATATAATACGCTTTGAGACAATGAAACGTGCAATTGCTTTATCTAACATTACATACTTTGTTCTGGTAAAGAAGGTCATTTAATTATTATTTCTAGTTTTGAAAGTTTGTATGTACATATGTATTGTACACATACATGTTTCAGACTTTTCTATAGATGCTTGTACGGCTCTATTTATTTAGGAATCTGTACTCTTAACATGTACCTGTGATGCTGACACTTGGAACATTTGTAAATATGGAACATTGTTTTTCATACGGCTGGAACCGAATTTTTCTTATTTTCAGACATTTATAAATGTATTTTTAAAAAATCCAAAATGTGTACATGTATATTGTTTTATTGAGTTTTATTGAGTGAATGCAAACACTTACATGCCTGTTACAAATAAAATATTTCCAAAATCTTGAAGTTCAGTGGCGTAGCATCGTTTTTGAAAGTGGGGGGGCCAGCCAGAGGAATTTTTTTTTTTTTACTTACCTGAAAAAGTTGACAAGCAAAAAAAAAAAAAAAAAAAAAAGAAAGAAAGGGGGGGAAAGAAAAATTGAAAGTTGCCCAAAGTCGAAAATCTTATTTCGTGGGGGGAGGGGGGGGTAGTCTAACTTTTTTCAGTGTCAAATACTTTCAGTACCAATTCTAATACTTCATTTTCGGAACATCGCTAAAACTGGGGGGCCAACGAGGTTTTCAATTAACCTTTTCTATAGTACATGTATAAGTAAGGTTGGGAAAAAAAGTGGGGGGGCCGTTGCTACGCCCCTGAAGTTTCATTGATTTTATCATTGTTTTGCAAAATTCTATATAAGCTGTTTTATAATTGCAGGGGCTTGTTTGGGTATTTTGAAAATTGTCCTAAGATTTAGAATTATTTTCTTACAAAGTACACTGTACCTAATTTTCTTTGACCTCTTTATAAGTATATAAAATAATCTTCCTTGCAAATTTTACATCAATTTAATCTTAAAGGCATTATATGAAAAATGAAGCCGCTCCTTGCATGTCATGATATCAAACTTATTAAATTTCCATTGAAAAAAATGCAAAAAATAAATGCAACGCGGAAATATTGCTTTTTTATCAACAATGCTCACGATTTTTAATCTTACTATGATTTGATAAATAGTTCGAGAAGTCGGCTTTCATTGCAATAATCTATATACTGTATCGTGCGCGGTATTTTTAAGTTTATTTGCGGTGAAAGTTCTTTTTCGGTTTGACATTTAAATTGTAAAAAAAAAAAAAAGGGAAAAAATGCAATTTCATTTCATTAAAGGGAGAAAAACACCCACTTAAACTCTTAAAAGAACGACATAATAACGATACATTGATAAACCAAAGTTCTCCAGGGAGACCGTTGCTCTACTTGTTTAAAATAATTTGAACCTGGTAAATGTTGCTCACGTTGGTTAACATATTTTTGGTCTCCTTTTATAGGCAATATGTCTTACATTTTCAAATTTTTAAGGAGGTTTAATTAAAATTATTGCTCTTTATATCATTTTAAGAATAAGTGAAATTTGAGGTCAAAAAATCGATATACATGTATGCTCGATTTTATGCCCCCTTCGAAGAAGAAAAGGCATATTGCTTTGCTGCGGTCTGTCGGTCGGTCTCTCGGTCCACCAATATCCGTTCATTTCTTCACATATTAAATATACTGAAATGAAATTTGGTAAACAGATTTATCATAAGACTATCTAGGTCAAGTTATGTTTTGGATACGATCGAGCAATTTTTGACAGATTTATGCCCCTTGGACTTAGAAAAATTCCCATCATTTGCAGTCTCCGTTCATTTCCTCTTCAGCAGTTGCACATACTGAAATGAAATTTGGTATACAGATTTATGATATGAATTTCTAGACCAAGTTCTGATTTAGGTATGATCAAGCAATTTCGGACAGAGTTATGTACTTTGGACGTACTTAGAAAAATTCCTATATTTTGGGGAGGGGGCATAAGTGTTTTACAAACATCTCTTGTTTAATATTATGTCAGTGCCGTTGTGGCTGATGGGAACATATAATTATAAAGCCACAACATATAATAATGAAACTACAACATACAATAAAAAAATCAGCATATAATTATGAACCCACAGCATAAATGTATAATAATAAAACCGCAGCATATAATTATGAACCACAGCATATAATAATAGAACCACAGCATATAATTATGAACCCATAGCATATAATTATATAACCACAGCATATTATTATGAACCAACAGCATACAAAAATGCTTCCACAGCATATTATTAAGAACCCACAGCATTTAATTATAGACCCAAAGTATAAAATAAAATTATGTTCATATGTAACATAAGGCAGCCATAGCGTTCCATAGTTAACAGCTGTTGATCATGTCATATTAGGTTTATACTTTAGATATCCTTGACTTTGTGAAGGAATTTACTTTCATTAGAACAATATAGATGTGTTTGTGAAACACTATGCTCCCGGCGGCAACGAAGTTCTAAAAAGCTAATTTTGGCATATAGGTCACAGTCAAGGTCACAAGGTCATTGACCTTGGTGTCAGTTGAAAGCGCTTAATTAGTGGAGTATGCATACCAAATATAAAGTCTCTATCTCTCACGGTTTAAAAGTTATGGCAAAGGTTAAAGTTGACAACAGACAGACAAACAGATAAACAGACAACAGATAAACAGACAAACAGACAGACAGGACAAAAACAATATACGTTAAATTCGGGCGCATTTTCTTAAAAAAAGCATGTTGTTTATTTTCTTTAGGCTCTTGTGAATAAATTGGTAGGTTACTGAAAGACATTTTGATAGGTAAACGCTAATCAGAAGAGAGAACTAGCTAAAGCTTTATAAACCAATGGTTATTAGTTATACTGGAGGAGTATCTCTGCTCTGATGTGAATTTGGTCAGACATAGGAAAATGACGTAAGGATTCAAAGAATCCAACCACATGACATTCCTAAGCAAAGAGTGTGCTAAAATTTTCATTGTGACAAGGACTTTCAATACATGTAAGTATACATATTTTAACCTTTTAACCTTGAACTTACAGTTTGACCCATTTTGTAAAAATAACTTTTACCTTGGTCATAACTTTTAAACCATTAGTGCTAGTGTCTTTCTGACATATTTTCTTCTTATAAGTGAAAATATTCATTATGACTACTTTAAAGGACCTTCCTCTTGATACCAACAATTTTGACCTTGACCTCGGAATTTGACTTGCATTTGATAATCTTCAACCTTTGCAATAAGCTGCCATACTGGGACATCAGTGTTTCACAAACAGATCTTTTTTTATTATGCGCCCGGATCAATAGATCCGGGGCGTATATTGTTTTTGTCCTGTCTGTTTATCTGTTTGTTTGTCTGTTGTCAACTTTAACCTTCGCCTTAACTTTTGAACCTTGAGAGATAGAGGCTTCATATTTGGTATGCATACTCCACTAATGAAGTTCCTTCACATGACACGACACCAAGGTCAATGCCTTTGACTTCAAGGTCGGTGACCTTGTGACCTTGACCTTTATGCTAAAATAGCTTTTTTCCGAACATTCGCCATAACTTTTGAACCATGAATGATAGAGACTTCATATTTGGTATGATCACATCACTAATGAAGTCCTTTCAAAAGACATCAATGTCAGTGACACTAAAAATAGCTTTTTCGATCTTTCGCCATTACTTTTGATGCATAGAAGATAAAAACTTAACATTTGGTAAGCCTACTCCACTAATTTAGTTCTTTCAAATGACACCAAAGTCAATGACCTTGTGACCTTGACTGTGACTTTTCTGCTGAAAATAGTTTTTTTCTACTATTGTTGCCGCCGGGCGCACTACGGAAGCGTATTAGGGCCGCAGCAGTATCTTTTTTTAATTTGTTTTAACAAATTAGTAATTTGTTTTAACAAATTAGTAATTTGTTTTAACAAATTAGCAATTTGTTTAAACAAATTATTAATTTGTTTAAACAAATTAATAATTTGTTATAACAAATTAATGATTTGTTATAACCAATTACTAATATGTTATAACAGATTAATAATTTGTTTTATCAAATTAATAATTTGTTATATCAAATTAATAATTTGTTATAACAAATTAATAATGTGTTATTATAACAGATTGATAATTTGTTATAACAGATTAATAATTTGATATAACAAATTATTAATTTGATAAAACAAATCATTAATCTGTTATAACAAATTAGTAATTTGTTATAACAAATTATTAATTTGATAAAACAAATTATTAATTTGTTATAACAAATAAGTAATCTGTTATAACAAATTAGTAATTTGTTATAACAGATTAAAAATTTGTTATAACAAATTAGTAATTGGTTATAACAAATTACTATTTTTTGGACATTTGACATGTACACAGAACTATGGAATCTATATCAGATTAGAATTCATTAAAATATTGAATTTGTGAAACAATAAGCACACGGTCTGCAAAGCTTTTGACCTATATATTTCTTCTTGCAGCTCAGAGTTTTCACTCCAAACATCAATGTCATGATAAATTGCATCAATGTCCTAAATTCTATTCCTTATAACTTGTTCTTAGATACTTTAATGAAACTTTGTCCATACGCCCCCCCCCCTTTCCGACTCTGCACAGTCATATCACCCAATTCGTATGCTAGATAAAAAGTATTATCTTATTTGATGCATGCAACAGAATGTTACAATATAAATTGTTTTATCTGTGTTTTGTTTTTGTTCATTTTAACTCTCTCTCTCTCTCTCTCTCTGAAGATCTCTCACTCTCTCTGGATTCTTAATTTCTTTACATGTGACATGATCTACTTTGAATACTGCTTTTCGACAGGCATTTATGTCTACTGTTCAACCCAATTCATGTACATAAAGAATAAAATCTTTAAACCAAACCCAATTCCACGTATGCAAAATCCTGGATCTGCTCCCGTGGTGAACCTCCACGGTTTCGTATAAAGCTGTGAGCAACAGAGGCAACATTGACCAAAATGAATTTGCGGATAAATTATTAAGAAAAAAAAATACATTCCGTAACAACCTTCCCCGGAAAACGAACGAAAAAAATTAAACCACAATATCCTTGAGTGGGTAGCTCTTGGTGAAATTTAATATTAAATTCCTATTGTGTCATTCCATTCTTTTGTATGCATGAAATTTTTATATAATAAAAAAGAGCCTGCTGGAAAATCTCTCAATAGTCCCACTAAAGCCTTATTATTGCCCAAAAACTTTGACAGTTGCAAATTATTTTCATAAATCCGACATATACTAAGATTTATGATTTGATCTGGCTTTCGTAGATTGTACACATTTCAAATTTTGTCAAAAATAGTAATTTGTTTTATCAAATTAATAATTTGTTATAACAAATTAATAATTTGTTTTAACAAATTAATAATCTGTTATATCAAATTAATAATCTGTTATAACAAATTAGTAATTTGTTATAACAAATTATTAATCTGTTATATCAATTTGTTATATCAAATTATTAATCTGTTATATCAAATTAATAATTTGTTATATCAAATTAGTAATTTGTTATAACAAATTATTAATTTGTTTTAACAAGTTAGTAATTTGTTATAACAAATTATTAATTTGTTATAACAAATTATTAATTTGTTATAACAAATTAATAATTTGTTTAAACAAATTAATAATTTGTTAAAACAAATTAAAAAAAAGATACTGCTGCGACCCTAATACGCTTCCGTAGCGCACAATGTTTAACAAGCACATCTTGTTTCTTTTTTATTTTTGAAAGAATAAAAAATCTGCAAAAAATTGTTGTCGTATGAAAATTCACCAAAAATTATGTCCCTTGTTTTGAACAACATTTTAAACAATGAAAATTTGAAAATGTCCACTTTCTCCTATTAATAGAAGATATGAAATACCTATTAATAGAAGATATGAAATAGGCCTACATACATGTAGTACGAAAAAATGCTTCAACTCTACATACTGTACTCCAATGAAGATGGTAAATATGTACATCATATAGAAAAATCTCCAATGGCATATATTTCATTCCAAGCTTTTATGCATTATGTATATTTTTAAAGCGTTCAATCACATAAAAATATTCATTTTTAAATTTAAAGTCAATGATTAGAAATAAAATCCTGTCTGGGAAATTAAGTGCTTACCATGCACATTATCTCTCAAATGTTGTACATAAAGCATTCTTTTTGATTCTTAGATTCAACAGCGTTATAAGAAAGATAACCAAAACAAGTTATGAATTCCCTAACCAAGGGTTTGAATGTGTATTGATTTTCTTTCTAAAATAAAGGAATATAGGGAAATTATTGTACCTAGTTCTGGCTTCATATCACCAAAAACAACTCAAAGGCACTGTAGTTTTTAATTTCCCTGATTTAATAAAGCATCGCGTAATAAAATTAAATTTTAATATTCCCTGACCCTCCGATAGTAGCGATAACTCCAGGAGTGATTTTCTAATAAAAAGGCAAAGATAATTAACCAACGAATAGTGTCCAATCTCGAATCTAAAAGCAATACAAAGCTGTGAAGAGGACTTATAGCATGGGCCCGTGGAAATATTAGAGGTAGGATCAGGTGCCTTGGAGGAATAAGCTTTCCCGTGTTGACAAGTCAACTCAGTCGTAAGGTCTATTTATTGCTCAAATGGACAGAACATTCTATAGTCAAATCTTGTATAAAAACAAGGATCATGTCAGCAAACTATGTCCCAGTGAAAGGTTATATTTACTAATAAGGTCAAAACAACGACCACAGAAACAACGTATACGAAATGCTAACTTTAAATGAGGTTGTTAAAACCCCTGTTACATCTACTTTTGTGTGAGTATCTGTCTCAGTTTTCAATAATTATCGTTTTCAAAGCATGCTCATGAGTAGCAAAAATCTGGGAAACATCAACACTAGCTATTAGCAGGTGATGTGTGATATTACTCCATATCAAGTAAGAAAAGATGATGATAATATATCATACAATTTACAATACTTTCATGTGAATTAGTTGAATCTGATTGGTCGAGAAACATTTGTTAAAAAACACTATTACCCGCTGAATAATGAAGCCACCCTCCAGCGTAGCAACAGTCAACATTGCTTGACGACGGGTGGTATTCCAAAAAATAGCGACTGCGCGGAATTTATGTGCACACGGTTCACTGTTATATGCATTTGTTTAAAACATTCAGTATAATATAACACATATAGCATGTAGTTGAGTGTAACATTGAAAATTTTCACCCCCCGAAAACCATTGTCAACCTCGGCTGCGCCTCGGTTGACAATGGTTTTCTTGGGATGAAAATTTTCAATGTTACACTCAACTACATGCAATATTTATATAATATTTACATTTGCAAATATCTTTCTTAAATGAACCTATTGAAGAAAAAATATGTTCAATTCTGTGTGAATGCTATTTGGGGGTCAGAGGTCATAGCACGACCGAATCACAGAGCGAAGTGATATTTTGTCTACATATATCTGTCACGGTGCAACTTGATTTGGAATATTTCTAACTTACTAACGATGAAAAAGATAATGGTAAGCAATATGGATATTTTTCAATCACGAGATGTACAATAAATCTTCTTTTGATGTGAATAAGGTTTTGAATGCTATAGTCAGCCTAAAACCGCACTTGCCTTTTTAACCCGACATTTCTTTGAAGTTATGTAAACTAAAACAGGCGATACCACCGCATTTATCTTCAAATATTGTGAGAACTTAAGAAATAGTAAGATTATTTTCAGCAGCGATCATTGTTCTTTCACTATATACAGATATTTCCTGAACTGGACTGCTAAACATGAAAACATTCAATTGTTGGAGCAAGGTAAACTAACTTGGACCAACCAACTTCTATGTCATTGCGCGTCACAACATAGCAATACGGCGGTCCGTTTGTTTAATAAGTGCAATTTCACTCGAAATTCATTCGTCTCAAATGTAAATATAAGTAATAAACAACAATGTTAAAAAGTTCACAGGGAAATGAACGTTTAGTTGGTACGTGATCAAATCTACTGAGAAGCCCTTCGGGCTTCACAGGATTTGATCACCTGACCAACTAAAAGTTCATTTCCCAGATAACTTTGTAACATTGTTGTTTATTTCTTAATTGTAGTTGTTAGTTGGCCTTTGTCGATATATACGAAACGAATAAGACAGTTCTTGTGATGTCTTTATACCCCCGCTGACATTCTTCCTATGATATTGAAGGGTACCCATCCCTTATCCCTAACTCCTCTTATACCACTGAATAAAATTTAATGATACTTTCACATATTTTTATTAGATATTGCCACTGTGACCTCCTATTTTACTTTTTGATCTTTTTGGTCTCCCAGAGCAAAATATGAACTTTGCCATTTTAATCGGGATTATCATTTAGTGAGATCATTGCTCACGGTACCTCTAGTCCACATTACTTTCTTTATCTTTTGAACTTACTTAGATCATGATGTTTACTGCAAAATATTGTAATCAATAAATAATAATTAAATACACATTTTTGTCAAATATGATTATGGGCATTAAGATCTTTTTATACCATTATGCATTGATAGATAATATATTAAAATTTTATCTACGAATTTTTCCCTTATAGGACAAACACCTGTTATTGTCTCATACAATCATGGGCTTTACAATACCTGTCCTCGGAATTGTACTAGCCTTAGTGGGGTGTTCGAATGGACAGCTGCAGAAAGTAACCTCTCTTCAATTTCTAGTCACTGTTAACACGACCTTCAAGTAAGTCATATTACTTTTGCAATACTAAAGTGAAACAAAGATACTGTAAAACGAGAAAATTTGGCGCATACGTATTTTAGCGCAAACGCAAGTGGAAATGCATTCGCGCAAATAAAGTTTAGCGCTTGCACTTGTCAGTAAAATATATAAATGTGATTTTTTTTATCCACGTCCGTATTTGACTTTTTAGTAAGTCAAGGACGGAAACATATTAGTACTCCCGTATATCAGTAAACATTCATTAACCGCGGTACGTTTTGCTATCACATAGACGTGGTACAGTGTTAACATTTATTTTATTTCTATTTTTAATTGAAAGAAATGGAGTATATTTACTCATTTAAATCATATCAAAACAATGCATGCATTGACAGAAAATTACTTAGATAAAACGGTAATCCTAATCTGGTATTGTCTGTTAGATCAATCGCCATGCTTGATTGCATTGTTTACCTCGAGGTAATAGATGATTGACATGCGGAGAAGCCAAACTTTGAAGGTGCTAGTGATAATAATCGGGTAACAACTACTGGGGTAACAATAGTTTAATTAAATTTTAATTTGGCAGAACTTTCTGTCTTCCGAACATGTGCAGTCTTAGTACGTATATGAAATCCAATGACCCTTCGACATTACGTAATCGCGTGTCCCGGTTTACATGTACTTATGTAAAAAAAAAATGTTGAACACACACAAAAAATGATATTTAGAAATCCTTTAGCGCACAATATATTTTAGCGCTCAGGGGCTCTTGCGCCAAAGGCGGTAAAATTAGTAGTGATCCAAATATTCTCGTTTTACAGTATTCCTTACCTTGAGCATTTTTATAGAGAACTTTTGGTACATGTTTATTGCAGGGTTTCCCTAAGAATTGAAATAGAGGGGGACTTTAAAAGGAAAATACCTAAATAACCGGGGAATTATAAACGGGAAAATCCCTCAGCTCCCGGGTTTTTGGGACAATCCCGATATTGATAATCCTAACACCCGTGCCATATTACTTATACGGGTCTTCAAAATTTTACTTTATCCTGTGAAAGCGACACTACATGTACTGAATTATTATGTTCCCCTTCGAAAAAGGGAGGACACAATACTTCGCTGCTGTCTGTCGGTCCACCAACCGTTTCTCTTCATTTTCCTTACAGAGGTTGCACATGAGATTCAATTTGGTATACAGATTTATATTAAAAATATCAAAATCAGGTTGGTTTTGTTTTTGGTTACGATCATGCAGTTTTCGACAGCGTTGTGTCCCTTGGACTTAGAAAGCGTCCAATTATTTGCACTCCCCGTTAATTTTCTTTGCAAAGGTTGCTCATACTGAAATGTAGGGGTGGGACGATATACCGATACACCGATACATATCGATATTTTTCTCTAAGATACGGTTTACGATACAAGCATTCAAATATCGGTACGAAACGATACACGAACGACCTATCCAAAAATGAAAATGAAAGTACCTGTCCTTGGAAAATGGCGGCTTGTACGAAGCGAAGAGATGATGTTGATATTGAAAACACACTTTAGAACTAATAAGTCGTTGATTAGGGATAAAAGGTTTTTCACTTTTAAGCGGCCTCGGAAGATTGGACAAGAAAAGTTCAGTATGTAAAGCGTGCAATGCACAGAAAGCACCGTTTCCAAAACATTTCATATTATATAGTAATTGCTAGTCCATCCCGTACTTTTTTGTAATCTCAACTTGGCTACAGACTTTCAGCAATTAATCATAATGTAAATGTGTTGGGTTTTTTTAATGAATTTTTAGTCAGTGTTCTTTGATGAACTACACTTGTCAACTATTTGTAAACAACTTGTTAATAAAAATTTGGTAATAATAATGTGTACATGTATTATTGTTTTTGCAAGTTTAGTTTAATGAAATTGATGAACTTCAAGTATTAATTTCAAAGCATACATAATTTAAATTTGATAAAGAATAATTTGTTGATTTAATGTCAAGACAAAAAATGAAATACTATTTTTTTAATAAGTTTTATAATTCATCATAGTATCGAGATACGTATAGTATCGTGCTAATATATCGAGATATGTATCGTATCGCAAGATCTGTGTATCGTCCCACCCCTACTGAAATGATTAATTGTATATTGTTTAACGTCCTTCTCGAGAATTTTTCACTCATATGGAGACGTCACCGTATGCCGATGAAGGGCTTCAAATTTTGACCTTTACTCGGCACTCATGCCCATTGAACAGTGAGGGATCTTTATCGTGCCAACGCCTGCCGCTGACACATGGCCTCGGTTTTTAAGGTCTCATCCGAAGGACCCGCAACTTTCACTTCAAAGTGCCGAGCGCATGGCGAAGGAACAGATGCTACCAATTTTAACGACTAGGTCAGTCGCGGCCGAGAACGACCTCCCGATCACGGAGCGAGCGCTCTACCGACTGAGCTACTGTGAACGGTCATACTGAAATGAAACTTGGTATACAGATTTATCATAAAAAATTCTAGGTCAAGATCCGTTTTGGGGTAATATGTCTCACAAACATCTTTTGTTTTTTGCAGTGATTGTATTGCCACCATCAAGACTCCATGGATAAAACCATCGACAAAGGGGGTGAAGATATTTGTAGGAGGGTGCGATGAAGGACCATTAGAATTCAATGTTTTATCTGGCCAAAACGCTGCTAATACTTCCATGGTACATGCATTTACCGGTATATCTTATTTCAAGGGATGACAGATACATGTATTTTTTATCTGTCAAACCTTTACGTATTGAATTGTAAATGTAGCAATGTTGTCTCCAGAAATGAGGTTTTTTTATAATCACTCTAAAATAAATAGATGAATAGAAACACGTGCCTTAATATATACTGAGAATCACTTGACAGGGATTTAACCCCCCCCCCCAATCAACTCATTGAGAGACATTGTTATATATGTTACATGTACTATTTGTTATTATTACATTTTTTACCTGTGAAATACTGTAATCTATTCATTGAATAAAAATGATATCCTGTCACAGTGTGAAAGCATATCAAAATGATATCCTGTCACGGTGTGACGAATATCAGAAGTGCGGGAAAACTCTCGTTTTCTCTTCCTATAACGAAGATCGCTGTAAAAAAATCTTCCTTGACCTAATATAAGGTAGATGGAAATAAATAAACCATTCTGGCATAAAACTGTCAAAATGTTGCTAAATCCATGTTTACCGTGTTTTTACCTCCTTATTAATTATTATTATATGTAAAAAAAGACTTAAAGATTTTTTTTTTAAATGTAATAAACAGAAAATTCTGTTTTGTAGTTGAATATGGAATTTATTTCACTCGTGAATATTTTCAATATATCTGATTAAACTATTCAACTACAAAACATTGAATATCCTCTATTTATGTAAACTGATGGACTGTATTGGCCAAAGTAATATTCTGATTAAACTATTTGTAAGTATAAAAAGTTAACATTTATTATTACATGATCCAATAATAACCAAGCACAGTTATTCATTATTAATTTATAAACATAATATCTAATTAAACGATATACTTTAGCACCACCAATTCAATTAGAGGGACTTGGGGCCAGAAGTTTCATTAAATTTGCTGTAAATGGGGCATGAGCACTCAAGCGATTCATGTACTGACCTAGATGTATGAAATTTTGAATTTTAAAATTTGCCAGTTAAATGTGGATTGACATTTTAACAATTTTAAATAATAACATTATGTTCATATATTATTTCAGATCGTTGACTTAACTTTTCACTCCTCTGTGATAGTCGATGCGTCCCCTCCTACCTGTAAAATTCCGTTCACGGGTTCCTATCTTGTCCCCAAAGCTGACGATCGAGAAATGTCCCTCCTTCCAAACTGTATGACGGGAGATTCCAGGGAGGGGTACCATATGACGTATTACTGGTTCAAAATCTTCGACTGGACATATGGATGAATATTTTTTATATGACTTTCAAATGAATAAATTTGTTTGATGCAACAATCTTTTATTCCTCATTGAAGTAACTCCTCGACGTTTTACATGTAGAACGTGAATAAATTATGACCTTAGAACTTGAAATAAAATTAACTAATAGTTTCCAAAATGTTTTAGTTGTTTTATGGACTGAACATTTTTTTTTTCGTAAACAGAATGATAAAAAAAGTATTAGCCGTCCCTTTTTAATTTTTTTGCATTTTAAAAATGCCTATGAATTAAATTATATTTTAAGCTTATTCTTTTCTATTCGAGCTCTTTCTTCCCAGATCTTTGAAAAATGAAATAACTGGCAGCGCTTTTTCAGATACATGTATTAGTTTAAAACACAATAAAACTTGCTTTTAAATAGGTTTTAGGGGTTTTAATGATTTAACCTCCTCATATCAGAACCTAATATAATCATATTTATATTAAGGAGCATGAAATTAATCTAGTACTTGAAACTGAGATTTTAAACACAAAAATTAATCAGAAGCATGTTATAATGTACATGTAACTACTAAAAAATTACCATTACAGACTGTGCACTTGACCTTTCACTCCTCCGTCATTGAGGATGCGTCTCCACCTGAATGTGAAATACAATTCAATGGGACATACCTCGTCCCAACGGCCAAGAACCCCGGCATGTCACTACTTCCCAACTGCTTTGTAATGGACTCTAGGGAGGGATACCATATGACCTACTACTGGTTCAAACTGTTCGACTGGAATTTTGGATGAGCGGATTTGATTACAGATTTACATTACTGTATAAATAATTAATTTTACGTTCATTGTAAATAAATATCCTATTATTATTACCAGTCATTGACATTTCTCTTTTGCAGTTCTGATCATTTTATCTCAACTTAAATCAAAAAGAACAAGAACAAAAAAATACATTTCTTATTCAAAAAATAATATTACCATTGAATGAATAATTTCTCCTTTATTAAGAAATAAATAACAAGTTTATAAACTTCAATGGGAATTGAAGTGGGTCGGTCAATCAAATCCTGTGAAGGCCGAAGGCCTTCTCAGAAGATTTGATCACGTCAGCATTGTTATTTATTACTTATATATACAATTGAGACAGACGATTGAATATTTTCGAATTTAAATTATTGCACTAACCGTCCGTCGTAGATTTTGAAAAATGACGCAAGGTGTAAATCGGCTTGCATGGCGGTTACGCTTCGAATTCATTAGGCTAATGAATCTATTTCGAAGGGAATATTTTGTGAAAGGCTACTTGTGATCAGTAATAGTGAACAGATTGTTGTCTGGGAATATTTTATTCGTGAAAAATGATAATCGATGCTGAAAAGACACAAGAAACACGTCCGAAGTTTGATGATAAAAAGTTGGAGGAATTTCGGTCGCTGGAAAGGGATGGATGGATCCGATGGACTGAGACACTTGTCCGAGCCAGTTAATTTGCAATTTGATCAAAAACATTCCACGGTTTCGGAAACTAAAAGCATACTTATCGTAAGACACTGATAAACACGGAGACTGGCGACAGCTTTACATTTAACTACGAAAACGCCGAGGTGTTTGGCAGCTGTTCATGGCATGATTGCAAAGATATTTTCGAACAGATTTACACATTTATCGTGAGTAAAATTTAAAGATAAAATAAAAGTTTATCATGAAAATTTAACCAAAGGTCTATGCAAAAAATAAGGATGAACGTTAGAGACTGTGCAGCTGACAAAAATGAAGAAAAATGTAAACAAACGCTTGGCTCCTAGTTTTCTCTGTGTACACAGGTTGAATCGATAGCCCAAAAACTGTATGAAATACTTGTTTACATTTAAAATAAAATAATTATCATTTTACTTGCTTATTTTATTCATTTTTAAACATGAAAAGCAGGTCATTTTATAATTTTATACCTGTAGATATTATTGCGCCGTGTGATTAGGTCACGTACTGACCTCTGACAAACTTCATACAGAATTGAAGATATTTTCTCTCTGTATGTTTATATAATGGAGAGATACCACAAATGTATATATTCTCTTATGAATCCATTAATCCTTCAGCATGCATTTAATTAATACCGTAATTCAAAATAGGAAACTCATTGTCCAAACTCGAAAATCCTATTCGGGGAGGGGGGGGGGGTGGTGTCGAAATTTTTTCAGTATGATTTTTTAAATCATACATAAACTACAGATAATATTACCCTAATTTGATTATACTGCAAGAAAAAAGTGGGGAGGGGGCAACCAGCCTGTCAGTAGCCATCTTTACAGGAATCCCATTGTCCATCTAACGGATTAACCCAAAAAACTATCTAAAAATATGTCTTGACCTTGATCCAAGATAATCTTAGCAAGGACAAGGTCATCGGCAGAAAAATTAAAAATTCTTTTCCTGACTGTAACGAATCATTGGAAGTTTGAACTTTATACAGAGTTCGAGGTCATACATGTATATATAAGGCGAGGGTGTGTCATGATCTTGGCCAGCTCATTTCATTCCAGCAAGTTTTCTAGGTAAAATAAAGTGAAAATTCACAACAGGTTTATTGTTTTCTAGAGTAATACCAGTTCTGATCACACAAGGAAAACCCAGTTTGCTGTTACATTGACGTCTTTCTACTGGGTATGTATATGACCCTATATATTAGAGGTAACAGATAATGTACATATAATAATAATCAGATTTTACACATTCCCGGCAACTCAAGGTGGTAACTCTAACAGTAAAGGCAAAAAGTGCAGGAATCGTGTGTTAAGATAACAGGAAACTGTTGCTTCTGTTACAAAAATTAAATCTCTTGATGTGGAAGAGTACAAAATGCGTATGACAATAAATGACAAAAAGCAAAACCAAGCCCTATTTTGTCTGACAATTCCACACATCTACTTTCCTAAATTCCCACTTGCAAATAATTTTTTCATTGTGAAACCGTATTTAAACAACATTCAAATCTACTTTTCGATTTCAAAGGATGAAATGTTTTTCACATTCTCTTCATCTGACATCACCTTGCGATCTGTCCATTCATATATTTGTAGCTTTCCATCCTCTAAACCTACACCCACTAAACATTCCCATAAGCTCGCAATCGAGGACAGTTTCCCTGACACGAAGTTTGAAAGTTTTGCGGCAATTGCACCTCTTTGATCAAGGACGAAAATAGAGTTGGAATGAGCATCAGCAATGTACACATTGCAGAATCTGTCCACACACAAGTCAATGGGACTAAAATTCTCTCCATCTGCTTTGAATTCATACAAAACTTCTCCCGTGTCTTTCGTTGCAGTAATTTTTCCTTTACTTTTACCTGTGACATCAAGAACATGCACCCTGTTGCATGTATCTGGTAGCCCGACCACGCGGTATGGACAGCAAAACAAGCGGTTTCTGTTGTCTGCAAACTCGATGTCATGTAAAGAAGTTCCTTGGCTTGAGTATCGTCGGACTAGCCTGCGGCTCTTTTTATTAACGACGAAAGAGAAGCTTTCAACTAAGCATACCAGGATCGTACCATTGCTTTCGCAGTACAAACCAAGTGGTAAAAGTGGTGCAGTGGATACGTAGGATTTTACAGTTTTTTCGTACTTCCGTGCGAATGAAATTTCCATCAATTTAAAATGACTCAATAACAAATAACCGTCTGGTGTCAGAGAGAAGGCTTGAGGGGCGAAGTCCATGCACAATCTCCACAAAACACGTCCACTTACATTTAGAAGTTCAATTTGATTGGGTTTATTGGACACTAAAAGTTCGTCTCTTTCACAGTTGGATCCAGAAAGCATACCAATTGCGCCAGTACCTTCTCTCTTTACTTCAGGAATCTTTAGCTCAAACCCATTTTGTTTTTCTACATTGTCTACTTGTTCTACGACAACATTGTTCATGCTTAAAGTCCCAAATAATAGCAAAATATTCCCTTCAAATATTTCTCTTCTTTCTAGTTTAGCTCCATCTTTCTTTACGTATTCTAATAAGAACTGCTTAACTTTTAAAGTTTTTTGGCATATTGTATTTGCCATGGATTCAATATACTCTTGATCATTTAAAGAACGTTGATTATCCTCCATTATTCATGCAGTATTTCACGGCTTGCGATTTTCTCTTACTGTGAACAGTTTATATCAATCGTATGTTTACTTATAAGATGTTATCAGTTTATCTTTTAATTTCACATACAAATTATCTTAAGGATAGGGTGTTATCTATGCAAACAAGAGCACCGCAAAGTATCCCCTCGCTATTGAGAACATAGATCCCGATAGTTACTCACCCACCCACACACTCATTCGTTCATATATCACTTCTAACGTCGTTACGAGGAGATAATAGCTTTGATTGCAAATTATAAGCGATTATCATTCTTTTGACTTCCAGACAATTTACATGTACCGATAGACTTGGTAATTGTATGATCTACTTAATACAGTATATAAAACTCACAATAATCAAATAAAGAATTTGAATTTTAAAGCATACAGGATATGTTGTCTTTTTTGAAACAAAATTAAAATTCCTTTTCCATGATTTCATCCATTTTGTTGTTACACAGAACAAATTTTGGGAAAACAGATAATGCTACTTTTTTTAAGGAAACATTGTCAAGACTATGAAGTCGATATACACTATACACCAACATGTACAATATACATCGGTCCACTTAAGACTGTGGTTCTCGTATTAAATGTACTACTAAGTATTATAATTTTATATTCAACCTCATATTAAGTATCAAGACTGACAAGATGTTACAAAAAATATCCATACAACATTAAGAAAATATTTATCTGAAATCTCTCTGAAGAACGGCACAACAAATAAATTTCCTTTGTTTAAACTGATATTCTAATCTTAGAAGTAAGTCAAAGTTAAATATTAAGCATGCCCCTTTTCTTATCACCCAAACAAGGATGATATGCCACCTTAGCCTGGTACGCGGAGCATTCCGAATGCTCAATCAAAGTAAATGAAACTTTGTACACTGCATGTATACATGTACAGTAACAACCAGAC